ATAGAATAGAATAGAATAGAATAGAGATTAGAGTAGAGTAGAGTAGAGTAGAGTAGAGTAGAATAGGATATGATACGATAGGATAGAATAGAATAGAATAGAATAGAATAGAATAGAATAGGAGATTAGGGTAAAGTAGAGTAGAGTAGAGTAGAGTAGAGTAGAATAGAATAGAATAAGAGATAATAGAATAGAATAGAATAGAATAGAATAGAATAGAATAGAATAGAATAGAAGAGAAGAGAAGAGAAGAGAAGAGAAGAGAAGAGAACTGGAAGGGACCTTGGAGGTCTTCTAGTCCAACCCTACTCAAGCAGGAGAACCTATACTATTTCAGATAAATGACTGTCTACACTCTTCTTAAAAACCTCCAATGATGAAGCACCTACAACTTCTGTAGGCAATCCGTTCCACGGGTTAATTGTCCTCCCTGTCAGGAAATTTCTCCTTAGTTCTAAGTTGCTTCTCTCCTGGATTAGTTTCCACCTATTGCTTCTCGTCCTGCCGTCAGGTGCTTTGGAGAAGAGCTTGTCTCCCTCTTCTTTGGGGGCAGCCCCTGAGATATTGTAATGCTGCTATCATGTCACCCCTAATTTTCTTTTCTTTAGACTAGCCATACCCAAATCACGCAGCTATCCTTCATATATCTTTTAGTCTCCAGGCCTAGAAAGACTAGGGGTGTCGTGATAGCAGCCTTCCACTCCTTGAGGAGCTGTCACAAAGAAAAGGGGGTCACCTTCTTCTCCAAAGCACATGAGGGCAGGACAAGAAGTAACAAAGGGAAGATTATCAAAGGGGAATCCAATCTAGAGTTCAGGAGAAATTTCCTGACGGTGCAGGACAATTCATCAGTGGAACAACTTATCTCCAGAAGTTGTGGGTGCTCCATCCCTGGAGGTTTTGAAGAGCAGACTGGGCAACCATATGTTCAAAATGGGCATAAGGCTGGACTAGAAGATCTCCAGGGTTTCTTCCACCCCTATTATTCTATGTTTTCTGTGAAGATTTCATCCTATGATTATCCTACAGGAAATCAAACGAGACTGTTATTTCCAGCAATCGACTGGATAAGACTTGAAAAAAAATGGGGAAAGGGACAGAATAACAGACAAGTGGCTGTCCAATCTCTTCTTAAAAACCTTCAGGGATGAAGCATCCCAATTTATCATAACTTATGTTAATGTACCCAGATCATTATAGAACGTGGAATAACAGAGTTGGAAGAGACTCGGAGGTCTTTTAGTTCAATCCCCTGCTCAAAGAGGTAACCAGGGGTGGGATCGGTGGTGGTATTCTACTGGTTCAGCTTGGTTCTGCCGAGCCGATAGCACCGATGAGCAGCGGAGATCGAACCGTTTCTCTCCGTCGCTCTGCTGTTGGGCCCGCCCGCCTGCCCGGGCTCTCATACTCACCTTTATCTTCTGCTTTTGAAGCACAGCTGCTGTGCGTGGCACAGAAGAGTGCCGTATGGCAGCTGCTGAAGCAACTGGGAGAGTGCAGGCTTGCAGGAGGTAAGTTGGGATGCCTCTGCGCCTGTGCAAAGCGAGCACTTGGCGCATGTGCGCACGCCAAGTGTGCGAACGTGCGCGAAGCATGCCCACCAAGCCACACACCACTGAACTGGTGATCAAATTTTTGGAATCCCAGCCCTGGGTGATATATTCTACCGGGTCAGACCAGTTCAGTAGTTCCAGTAATCATTTGGCCCCTGCCCCTTTTCCTGAGCTTTATTTCCTTGTTTTTGAGCACCGCGGATTTGCGCGGCAGAGCGGTTTGCCATGCATCCGCTGTTTTATTCACCAGGGCTGTAGCAGAAGGTAAGTATTATAGCTTAAAAAATGGTCTTTTCTAAATGCTGTGCGCGCGCGTGCTCACAGATCTGGTTGCTACACCAATTGAATCGCACCACCGCAGGTAACCCTATATCATTCCAGACAAATGGTTGTCCAATCCCTTCTTAAAAGCCTCCAGTGACGGCACCCACACCTTCTGAAGGCAAGTGCTTTCAACGATTAATTGTTCTCACTATCAGGAAATTTCGCCTTAGTTCTAAATTGGCACCATCCTCTGCTCTCCTCAGAAATTTCAAGAAACATTAAAGGAAACCTGAAAATTATGGCTAGACAAGCCACGAGGCCGATCTGGAAGAATGAGATTTAATAATTTACACACCCGCCCTTGCTATACCTCTTGGTATACACTTCCAACAAAGTCTGGTCCATAAAACATATATATCATTGAAAAGTTGGTTCTTGGCAATATAAGTGACACACTTAAAAGTGTAACTGATGTTCCAGGATATTTAGCCAATTTTTTCCCTCTCTCTCTCTCTCCTGGTTTGGATTATCAACAGCACTCGCCTTGTCTGAATTCTGAATTTACACTCTTCCTTGCAGTTATAAAAGTGCTCAATCTCCCATGGACAGGTCTAACCTTTTAAAAAGTGGACCAGAAGTGGCACTAAAACATGAAGAATAGCTCTCTTTTTTTTTTTTTTTTGCTGGCTCAGCATGATTCATCCAAGATGCTTTCTCAACATCTGTTAATAATGAGGCTTCCATTCTGGACTTTGGGAATCTCTTCTCTTCCTGGAAACTTGGGAAAAGAGCCAGCTATTACTTATTTATTTATTTTGCAAAACTTGAGGGAGGAAACAAATTACTTCCCTATCTGGAACAGATTGCTCAGATTTGAAATAAGCCTTG